TTTATTTTCATGACTAACTTAAAAGCGCAGCTCATAACTGTAGCCCATAAGATGTCAGCCAGTTCTCCACACCCCACTTATTTGCTGAGCAAACCTCAGAGTTTTCTTGCTTACTTGTCTCTTCTGTCCGGATCTTTCTAAATTGTTTCTATTGCAAGGTCTGTGATCTTGGGACTGATATTTTCAGAGACAATGTAGGAAGGACAGCATCGGCAATATCCCCCCGTGGCATTTGATTTGTTTGTGGAGTGGCCCAGCTCAAGTATCCCCCATAAGTATAATTGCATGAACATATATATATAAAAAATCCCTAGTTAGTATATTTTTTAAAAAATAAAAGGAAAAATAAATGGCCTCAGGAATCTAAAAATTAGAAGGCAAAATTTTAAAAGACACTAGATTTGTTTTGCTTCCAAACTCATGATCTGGGGGCTTTTGATTCATGATCAAAACTTGTGATGGGCGAAATCTTATCACAAGCAGCTGTCTACAGTACAGAAAATTACAGTTTTGCTAGTCAGCTGCAAGTCACTGGCCTTCATGAAGAGAAGCTGGCACTTCTGAGGTGCAATTCAGACTATCCAAAAGCAAACAGCTAAATCAGGCCAGATGAATCACCTCTCAGGAAAGTTTCTCTCCACTGCCTGCAAATGGATTCTACGGCAATTAGCTCAGACACACACATGGAAACTTTTGTTATTCCCAATGAGCTGAAATGAATCCTACTGCTGGTGTCAGCAAACAGGAAATGGCCCTTAATAAAACTCATTTTCTCTTCAACTGCTCAACTATAACAGGAAAGTCTGGACTATCACTAACAAAAGGAAAAACAAGTGTTGCCAGGGTGGCATTTCCCCCCACATCAGTGTGGGAGAAAATCCTGCAACAGAGCCCTGGAGGGGTCAGGTTCTCAGCAGAGAAGGACTCGTTGCCTCACCAGGTCATTAGAGCCTGTGATTGAAGTGGACGAATCATTCGTAAATATATTTTTGTTCTGTAACGCAGCTAATGAATTGGCATAATTTCTGCAAATCAAACGTGGCCGCTCTTGGAGCTGTTCGCAGGAGCAGAGCAGCAGCCAGCCCGCGTGCTGACATAGCTCCCCAATCTCCTTTCCCCTGCTCCATTTCCTTCTCAAATTGAAAACTATTAGGAGTCTTTAAGCAAATAATAGAAACCTAATGCAGGTGCCTGTTATAAATCGTTCTCTAGTTACTGCTAACCTAATGTCTTCTCAAACATTACTTCACAGGAGGCAGCAAGGGAAAGAAATGCCTCATGAGCCCTGACAATCAATGGGTCAGGAATTAAGGTCATAGTAATGTAGCCCATTTCTCCTTGTTTGTCAAATGGCCTGAACAAAGAGTTAGGTCCCTGAGTTTTTAATCTGAGACGGGTTCCCCTCAGCGAGAATGTGAGTCATGTTAAGAGCCTAGGGTGATACCCTGCTCTGTACCCAGGATGGTGACATGCAGCTGGTGATGCCAAGTCAGTGCTAGATAAGGACGTTGCCACGCTCAATGCCTTAGCTTTCCCACATATAATGTGATGTCTACCACATGATTTGAGGTTAAATTAATCAATCTTTAGGAGGTGGTCTGATATGCCTAACTAGAAATCACTTGAGAAATATAAAATATTCTTCAGACAAAATAAAACAGTCAGTAAATATTAATATCAATGGTTACTCATGATTGTTTCTTATGCAAAATAGACAAATGCACAGAAGTGCCTATTGCTAGTGGGCAACTAGTAGCAAGCTTCTGGGTTTGAGAGATAGAAACGTGGTGTAAAATGTTCATTTGATCCATCCCTGGTAAAATTTACCTTCACCAGCTGGGCATCACATGTGTTATTCTCACAGACTAGTTCTTCTTGTGTTCATGGGAAGTAATATCAAGCATTTCGGAGGGAATAAAACTCCAACTTTATGTATGCATAACATAAGGCATGCAAAAGAACTGGCTGTTTGCAGATACGTGCCCAGGCACATAGGGCAACTCTCAGGTTGCTTCTCATGATGCAGGGTGCCCTCACATGAAATGTTGAACTGTGGTACCTTGGTCACAGATTGCTTTCCTCGTTTGGCTCCCCAGGGAGGTGTAAATATTTCAGAACTAATGTTTAAATCATGTAAACCTGTTTCTGAGTGCTTTAATAGTGGTTATTTCAGTGCATGGAAGAACCTGGGTTTTTTTACTGTAACTTCAAATGGGAGAAACTTGGAGACCTTTAGTGTCTAACACCCAGCCTGGTTCTGTGGATTTTTGGAAAGCATCATCTGCACCCCAGGAAACATTAATGTGATGTTCAGCAAACACACGTACCTCACCAGGACTGGCAAACGCATTAGTTTGTGTCAGCATGTGATCACTTGGAGGAGGTCCCATGCCACTGAGAGCTGACACACAGATCTAATTCACCCCAAAACAACCAACCAGGCAAGCTTGGTATTATTTTGCAGGTGGACACTTTGACAGCAAGCAGCATAAGAGCCAACTTGTATTATTGTGCTAGATGCATCTGTAAAACTGCCTTTGAATAGTGAGCAAATCCATAGCTCACAGGAAATGCCAGGCATGTTAATGAACTTCCCCCATGTTAGAAGGGAGGGAAGCTCATTTACAGGTAGGGAGTTTGAAATAATAAAACCCATCACACAAAGCACTGGATTGATTGGAAGGGGGGAAATAAATGATACCTCCTGGAGGACAAGATGGCTTCCCAAGGTGTTTTTCCCTGTATTTACAAAACTTGTGCATTGATTGCAAGGTGAAAGAGGAGACAGGGAGGCACTTTAGGGCATACTTCAGAAAGCAAAAGAGACAGAAAGTCAGGGTAAAAAGAGGAAAAAGCAGCTGGTATCACTGCCCTTGGAAAGAGTATTGACAGAGCTCCTCAGGTGCATGAGTTGGCTGGCAAAAGGGCTTGTGGTTTCTGAGCTAGGAAACTACCTCTTGCTGTTTTATTTCTGTTGTGTTGAGGAAAATAAAACTGTGTACATTCTTTGTAAATAAATAAAATTGCAACAAAAAATAGTTCATCCTTATCATGAACTTTCCAGTACTATATGCTGACTGGATAGGCAAGTATAAGCTCCTCTTAGAGATGCTCAATTGGACACAAAACCTCTGCTGCTTGCAAAGCCTCATGAAATGTTTGGTACTAACCAATGAGAAGGACAAAGTTACCTAGATAAACATTAGTCTGACCTAACACATAATTACCTCTCTCATAAAAACAATGCCCCTAAAGCAAAGCGACACCAAAGCAGTTTGGAGTGTAATCTCCTTTCTTTTTATGGGGAGGACACCATTAGTCTACCTCAAACTCTCTTTCTCAACAATAGTAATAAAAATGGAATAAATGCAAACTTTTTAATTCCATCACTAGCATCATCAACAGCACCAGACTTCAAAAGTATTCATTCCTTCTTTCTTCTGCAGTTTTCTCATATGCAACTCACAGGTCTTATGGGAGAACGTTGCCTGAAGCATGGTGCTTCTAACCCAGAAAAATCTCTGCAATTTCTTGCTTTTTTTCTGCCACTCAATAGACTTCAATACAAAAAAAAAAAAAAAAAAAAAAAAGGTTGCTGACTTTAAAAAATAAATACCAAAGCTTTTTTCCAGTTAAAATAAAAATCATAGAAATAAGAAAAAGTATTTGTTTGTGCAGATTCAAACTGCATTCTCCAGCAAAATGTATTAAAAAAAGAAATATTTTTGCTATGATAAGATTGTTTTCTGTAGGCACTTGCAGTGTTAGGACTGTCTTAATCACTGATCCATCAGGCCTTGAAGGCTTAATTCATTGCTTGACTGTAGACATCTAATTTCAACAAGTCATCTGGGGAACTTGCATAAGGGAAAGGTGGCGATGGCACAGAACATCCTGGACACCCAAGTCTTCCTGTACCAGCAGCTGGAGATTATGCAAGGCACTGAGGACATCCAAACTGGCACCAGAGACTTCATGAGCCAAATGGAAGGCTAGCAGTCTAACTTGCTATGCTGAATCTGTTTTTACTTACTCACAGTAATTCTGTGTAGCTCTCAAACATAGTCTGACACTTTTAAGCACATCTTGTCTCATCCAGATGTGGCAACAGCACCCGTCATTCAGAATGGTCCTTTGTTCCAAGAGTTGCTTCTTTGTCATTCAGAGAGATGCATCCTGAAATGTGCTGCTCTATACTTATTTCATTTTTGTCTCATTCATTCTGAACTCTTATTTGAAATTGTCCTCAGGACTTGATGAAATATATTCTGAGGTGAAACTTGGTTTCTATTGAAGCCTATGAACTTTTTACCATTGACACCAAAGAAATCAGGATTTAATCCTATAAAGAGTCTATCTGGAACAAGAAAACCACGTCCTTCAGTTACCATCCCCTTTAATCTGGAGAGGTAGCAGACAGACAGAGCTGGTGACAGTGAGGAATGCTCCATCCCTGGGGGCGCAGTGCAAGAGCACTGATAGAGCTGCTCTTGGGAAAACAGAAAAGGAGACTGAACTTAAAGTCAGATCTGTTTGTTCTCTGCAATTTTTAAAGAGCAGCAACTGTTACTTGCATTTTATTTAGCACTTCTAGTGCAACAACAATGAAAGCTAACATTACAGGGAGTGTGTGTTCCCACCAGAAAAAGTCTTCAACAGCTCATAAAATTGTGGCCATTTATCAGCACTGCAGGAGATCTTTATTACCTTCCTACAGCATGTGCTCTCCTATGATGTACTTATTGATTTAACAAGTAAATTTCATGACAAGCTTTTATCTTGGAATTAGCAGCAAGGCTGAAATAGGACCCTTATTATTCTAATAACACAGAGATGTGAGATTCCAGTGTATTCCAAAGGCTGTATCATCATTTTTACAAGCATCCCATTAGGGCTGTCTCAGCTGCCACATCAAAGTGTGGGCTGCAAGAACTTTAATAATTATGATATCATACCCACTCCCAGGCACCTTCACAACCCTTTTGTTTTTCTTTCTACAGGTTTGGACATCAGGCAAGCTCAGGTTATTGCACTGTCATCGGGTACCAAATGTATAAATGGAGAATACATTAATGACCAAGGGCTTGTGGTCAACGACTGCCATGCAGAAATTGTGGCAAGAAGGGCATTTGTTCACTTCCTTTACTCACAGCTGGAGCTCCACTTAAGGTAACAGAATTCTATTGGTGCTTGGGGAATGCCATAGGCTGTTCTGTTGAACAGATCCATCCTGCAGGCATTTCAACTATTAGTTTCTTTATGTTGTTGTTTCTAAGTTTGTGTTTGATGAATGGCCATTACACTGCACAGGGAAAAGAAAAAAAACACAAGTTAGATAGTCTGGAGTTTTGTGTCATAAGCTCCTTTACTTCAGCTGATTTTCTTTCAATACCTACTAGATATGACTCATGAAGTTGTGCTTTATGAAGCCTGATGATTTTATAAAAATCTTTACGTACAGGCTTATTAACATCACTCACTGGTCAGTGATTGGAAGATGGCCATTTTGCTCATTGCAGACATTTTCGTGTCTTCCTTGCGGTTGCTAAAATATTTTAAGCAAGTGATTTATTGGTCATTATTTTTTTCATTGACTTGTCAATCAGTGGTAACAATCAGTAAACTTGTTACCAATACACAAGATGCTATCACTCCTTCTTTATTATATTTTAAAATATGACAGCATGTAGATTTCTTATTACAAAGAAATCTAGTCAGTTTTATTGCTCTTGTTTTTAACCAAATCCACCTTTTTACCCTTTAAATGGTTAAACATTTATCCATTTAAATGGTTAACAGGTCATACGCTACTTGGAGGCCAATTACAAGGCAGGTATTGCAAGGGGTCTATCCTGAGATCCACCCTGTTTAACAATGCCTCCATCAAGGAGGTAGAAGAGGCTATGAGGTGCTTCTTCATAAACTTTGAATTTGAAGGTGGCACAGCAGATGAGGTGGGGGGAACACAGTGAATATCCTTGAGGACAAGGAGGTCCAGAATCACCTAGCTAGGTTGGAGGAATGGGTCAACAGGAACTTTATGAAATGTGATGAGAACAAATGTAATGTCCTGCACCTGGGAGAAAAGAGCAACCTTGAAAACACAGGCTAAAGGCTGTCTAGCTGGCAAGCGTCTCTGTCGGAAAGGACTTGGGAGTTTTAGCAGACAGCAAGCTGAATATGATCCAGCAACTAAAAGAATCAGCAGCGCCCTGGACTCCACAAACCGCTTTTCTAGGGAAGTGATTATTCCCTCCACTCAGCACTCATCATCCCTACATGCTGCATCCAGCTTGTGGACCTGCAGTGCAGGTACAAATTCAGCAGAGGTAACCAGGACACTTGAGGAGCACTTGATCCATGCAGAGGCTGTGTGAGCTTCAGTGTGAAGAAGAAACAACTGCAGGGGAACCCAACAACAGCTCCTGGTTGGAGGTCATCGAGAAGATGGAACTGAGCTCTGCACAACAGTGCATAGTGGGAGGATGAGACAACAGTCACAAGTTGAAAAAGGAGAGGCTCAGTCTGGTTATAAAACCTTTTTCCCCATGAGGACAGTCAGGCGGTGGAGGAGGTTGCCCAGGGAAGCTGTACCATCTCCAGCCCTAGAATTCTCACAGCCCAAGGAGGTTGGACTGGAGATCTCCTGAAGTCGCTTCTAGCCTGATTATCCTCTGCTCCTAAACAATAGAAAGTGAAGCTGAGGTGGCATTTGTTCCATTGTATGGAAGGAGGGAAGGAAGCAAGGAAGGAAGGAAGGAAAATAAGTAAAAATCCCTATATATGTATGCCATTCTTCTGCTCTTTGCTTTTGCTTATGTTTTCATGGGGCTTTATGTAAAGGCCAGAAACCTCAAACCAAAAACTTTGTTTGACTTCAGAAGGTTTTGCAGCAGGGCACACTGGATTTCTGAGTAGGATTGTGTGTTCTTGTGATCACCTATGATATTTCTGGCACTGAATCAGCAGTAAAAGGAATGGTTATTTCCACCTCAGGCAAGGATGAAGACAAGAGGATGTTCTGAGTAGATGAGCTTGGCTAACAAAGGAGGACAAGAGCCTTAAGGGGTTTAATCAAAAACTATAGTGTCTCAATTTCAATCTGCAATGCTTTAAGTTTACATTAAATTACTGTGTTTTTGTCAGTTAGCAACCCTGGTACTTGCATTGTTCGATAGTCTCTTGGGATAGAACTGCTACGACTGTATCTTAAGCTACTGTATTGATCTACCTCCCCAACATGTTCAGTCATATTATTACGTTATTTGGATCAGTGTTAACGGTCTTTTGTTAAGAGAATTTTCAGTGCAGCACAAACTCTGCTCACAATAACTTCAAATCTCTCTCTGTTCAGCCAAGATCAGTGACCACATATTCTCTGACCTGCACACATGATAAAAATTTCGCCAAAATTGTCAAGTCTAGGCATCTTCAAAAGACAGAACTTCAAGATTTTGCTTTCTTGAAGTGTGTTTGGAAGCAAAATAACGAGTTATAACCTATTCTTCACTGCCAGTACGTATTCAGGAGCATGGTCATAATAGCAAGAAAATGGAGGTGTTTGTTTAAAATGAAACACAAAGCACATTTTCTGCATATAAAAGCACAATTTTCCCTAGAAAGAGAGACACAGCTGACAGGAAAACCACTTGGAGCTATAGATAAAATGAAAGTTTGCAGGACAGGTGTGATAGGTTGGCTGTACTCAGTTAAACTCACTGGCCATAAACAACTTGGGTTTGCGGGGGACAACAAAAATGACATCTCTGTCCCATGCATTTGCATTAATTAAAGTCCTCTCATGATCCAGAAACTTGTTGTACAGAATGGTGCATGAGCTGAGGCCAGAAAGACAGCTTCCTAAGCCCCAAAAGAGTGAAAACATAGTCCTTTCCTCAAAGAGCCCAAATTCTCTGTCCTTCGCCATGGAATAGGCAAGTTAGTTCTGCAGAGACTGTTCCCTGTTTGTCACACATCTTCCTCCTATCCAGCCTAGCTACTCAACTTGATTTCTGCAGCTGGTTTTCAAACTTCAGCAGTCTCCAATATTTTTTTTCCAGCATGTTGTTTTCCTTGCAAAGTACCACCTTCTCCAGAATTTGTAAATACTGTCATTGACTTCAGTGAAAGGAAAGCGCTTATCTGAGTTTAGCACAAGGGCTTTGAAAGAAAAGGGAGAGGAGGGCAGTGCAGCAGGATTGGCAAAGGAAGGTAAATACACTGAGTGGAATTTACCTCTTAACACCTCACTTGATAAGTCTAAAAATTAGTCAGTCAAGTGTGAGCAAAATCCCCCAGTGCTCGTCTGTGCAGAGAAATGGGCATCTCTGGAGTGTGATTCAGCAGTGTGATTTTAGATACCTATTGTAAAGATGTATTGCCATATACTGGGCCGTTTTTTCTCCATTACTGTAGAGTTATCACAGGGTGACTGCTTCAGATATTTGAACTGTAGAAGGCTAAGGGCAGATAACCTCATCCACAAGTCAAAGTTACGGCAGTAATGAGTCCAGTTCCAGAATGGTATTTCTATCCTAAGAAGCAGCTTTGTCAAATTCTTCAAAAGGAAACTCACTTTCAACAATTCATTGTCTTGAGCTTGAGTTAAATAAAAGCTAAAAAAAACACATATGAAGCCTGACAGCTTCTAACCAGTTTGATTAAAACTGCCCCTCCCAGATTTCATTTTTATGACAACCTTAATCCTCTAGTTCTCAACTTTCACCAAAAAGATAAAAAGCAAGACCCAAATTTTCTAATGTACAAATTTTCTAATGTACAAGAGAAGGGATAGAAGGAAGAGAAAGAACTTGCAAGAGGTTTCTTTAGTCAACAAGGTACACAAAAATTATAATGTGATTCTCTTTCAATGATGGCTGTAAAATTTGCCTTTACAGAAAAGGGATTATTTATACTGACTGCTCTATAGGAAAGAAACAAAGACCCTTTTGTGGGTTTTTTTTGTTCTTTTTCTTTTAAGAAGCCTAAAACTAATAGACTAATGTTGAAACAAATCACTAGCATAGCTTCTCATTGCTGTAATGACCCTGTATGTTCCAGGGGGATAAATTTTACCAGAAGCTAAGTTCTTCCAGGCAGTCAGATGCAAACCATTGTCAATTTTATATGCAAAAAAAGCACACATGCTCTTCACCCATTCCAGTCAAACTTTCTCCAGTTAAGCCAGCTTCTTGTTGTACACCTACTAATGCTTGCTCTGCACCCGTAGTTTCTTAACAGATTCAGCTGCTTCACAGAATGACAGAATGGTTGAGGTTGGAAGGGACCTCTAGAGATCATCTAGTCCAACCCCCCTGCTCAAGCAGGGACATCTAGAGCACGTGGCACGGGGTTGCCTGTGTGCCTCTCCAGTTTGCCTGCCACCCAGCTTCAATCATGCCGTCCTTCAAAGTAATAAAAATGATGCGTGCGCTAGTTAGCAGTGCTCTGCATCAGTTTAAGGTGCAAGGTTTTGTGATCAGCCCATAAAACCCTGGGCCAGTTTCCCCTTGATTTATAGCTGTTTCTCTAGGACACTGTGCTATACAGCTGATGCATATGTAGTACTAGAAGCTTCCCATACCTACATTTACATGCTAAAAATAGCTCCTCTACTTCATTTTTAGAGAGTAAGGTCTTACTTCAGCAAAACACTTCACACAAATCATAAAAACATGCTTAAATCCTCTCAAAATCAGCTCAAAGCAAATGTAATTATGATAAATAATGATGAATATAGTCATAAAATTAAAATTAAGCACACAAATGTTTTTCTTGAATCAGCCTCATATCCTGACTCTTCTGAAATTCTAACTTCTAATCTGCAGTTGAACTGACACACTCATGCCACCTGTTGAATGCATGACATTTGTGGCCTTGCTGTGGGAGCCTCTCCTCATGGCTTTGGGCAGGTGGTATGGCAGTGCAAAGCAGCATTGCAAGTCACTGCTGCTCCAAACTCATTCTCCCCATCACAGCTCAAAATACGTACCCACGAGGGAAGGCAGGAGGAGAGTCTGAGCAAGGAGAATTGCCTTTGAAGAAGTGCATCTCATGCTCCACCTGGCTCATTTTTACAAAGCTCCTGTGCGATGCTAGGATCTGACATTCCCCAAGACCCCCTGCAAACCTTGCAGTGATGCTATAGCATCACTCATTTATAGCAACAGAGTTTCATTAACTCCATTCAAGCACCATGCAGGCACAAATTCCACATTTGAAAATGCCCAGAAATCCATCCCAATGGCAGGTCGGGAACATATGGGATAAAGACCACACTGCCTTGCCCTGCCCATCATCTGTCTTGAGGGCGGCTGTCCAACGCCCAAGCCATCAGCCACAGTGGCCACGAAGCCTTCTCTTTCTCACAGAGTGGAAGAAAGCAAGGTTAATTAGCTAAAAGCAGCTAAAGCAGCTAAAAATGGGGTGGTGCTGCTCACTGCGAACCCCTGTAATGCATCCCTCTGCTCCATGACTGCTCAACCCATACCTAGCAACTGTTTCCAGCTAGTACAAGTTGCCCCCACTCCTGCCCTGCTATAATGAGGTTTAACGAAGTAATAGCAGGCGTTAGGGCTGCGCTGCTTTGTAGTCTCATGGCTGATTTTGTGGTGAATTATTTAATAGCAACTGCAATTGCTCCAAAGTCCGAGCAGAAGGACTTACAGGTATTTTATTATTTCGGACGCTTGTGCCGGGGCGATAATATAATTAGTGCAGTTGGGAAATTCCAACAGAGATGGCAGAAAAACGAAGGAGCAGCCGCGCTCAGGAAGCCTGGGTGGCTCACCGTTGCTGACAGGCGAGGTAATGTGCCTGTAAATTCCTCCTGACAGCAAACGCATCCCAGCATCAAAAAATGACAAAACACCCAAACCATGGAAGAGTGACAGCCAAACACCTTCAATAGCACAGGGGTTGCGCAGGCGAAAAACAGGCAGAGGCAGCTTGGATTAAATCCAAGGAGTTGCTCGGAGACTGTGTAGAAAGCCCCCTGCTTACATGAACAGGAGGCAGAGAAACCTGCAGAAATTGCCTCGGTAAACAGGCTGTCCTGCAGTGGGTAAAATTCGGGCTTATTAAGAGCCTCCTTGGAAAAGCGTTACCTGCAGCTGCCTTTCTGATCAGAGGCATTCCTATAAAAAGACCTGAACTTTCTGTTGGAAAGACCAGGATGTTGGAGGAAAATAATTCTAAAAAATTAAAATCCCACTAGTCGCTTTTTCACCCTCAAAATTATAACCATGACCATCACCCAAGTATGCGTACTAGAGTCTGCCAGAGAAATCACCCATGTCTCCACAGATGTAAATCATGGGAGAAGCTGCAGCACAGCCGAGTCGTAACGCTGCTCACGCTGCAAACAGCAGCACGGGGAGGGATTTGGCCTCCCGGGCAGCTGTTGCTGATGGAATATGTGCGCTGTGTCCCCATCTAGCTGTTGAACCACTTCAGAGATAAAAGCTTCGTCTTAATAAGTATCTTTTTCAACTCAGCTGAGAAAAGCTTGTGCAAGTTTTGTCCTCACTTTTAAGGATGGGTTCTGGCTTCCAGAAATGCTGAGTGACCCAGAAGACACTGCTCACAGCTGGCTGGAGCTCCCATATGAGGATCTGGTAGAATGGGAAGAAAAGCAATGCTCAGTTTTGGCTGAGTCTGCTGGGGCAATGGGAGGATTGACAAGGGTCATAAAGTAACGCATATAAACACACATCTCAGTCACAGCGATGTTAATGAGATTTAAACATCTGCCTGGGCACTTTGATAAACAGAGCTGATTTTTTTTCCTCAGGAGAGCCAAAAAGAACTCTTCCTTTCTTCATGCACCAGAACTGCTTCAAAATCAATATGTTTATGCATCTGTACCTTTGAAGAAGAAGAGTTTTCCTTCAAATATCCACACATTTTGTTGTTAGAATATATTCCAGGTAAACCAGCCAAAAGCACATTGACAGATCTGACCTCCTTCAAACATTTCTTCACTTGGAGAAGCTTATTATTTTTCTCTTTTTGTCAGTAGGCAAAATATATGAATGCCAGGTGCTAATAAAAACAAACAAACACAGGGAGAAAAACAGAGAGAGAGAGCAGAAATGTTTCTGATTTGGCATGTAACAAATGACCTGGAACCTCTTTTGTGATCATAGCAAACGGCGAGAAGACTGGGAGCGATCAATCTTCGTGCGATTAAAAGAGGGAGGCTACAGGCTGCGCGAGAACATCCTGTTCCATCTGTATGTGAGCACATCACCCTGCGGAGACGCACGCCTCAACTCCCCCTACGAGATCACAAACGACTGTAAGAAAAAAACAATGCCCTCTTCTTTTTCCCCTTTGTGTGCAAGGGTGTTTTTTGTTTTGGTTTGGTTTTGGTTTTTAAGATCAATCTTTCTTTCTTTCTTTGTTCCTTTGCTTGGAGAAAATACGTTTAACACGAGAGCAGAGACACTATGGGCCATGACAGGAAGGTAGCTTGCGCAGAGGGAAATAGGAGCTGGGCAAGACAGCATGAGACTTCCCTGCTTGCCTGAGGCTCCCACGGCTTTGCTAGGAAATACAAGTCCAACAGCCTGCACTCCCTGCTAGGAAATACAACTCCACAGTAAACAAGTACCTTGCATGTAAGGCCTTGGGAAAGGTCTGTGTGACCAGATAGATAGATCCATGGCCATGAGTTGTACTAGAGGATCCAGACTTCATTCAGAGTTAAATGGACTTTTCTCAAGAGTTATACCTTATGAGCAAATTGAAGGGCTCCATTTACACTAAAGCTGAGCTGTTCAGATCACAGTGGCTGGAATGTGAGGCAGTACAAAGACTTGTGGCATCTATAGTGTTGGTCAAAACTCAGACTCTCTCCAAATACCACCTGCCCTTGCAATGGAAAACAGGATTGTCTTGGAAAGGATCTTTCCCAGGTCATCCTGACTGTCTCCAGTCAGTCACATGGTCACTGCAAGACAGATGGATTTAGCCAGCCCAGCATTGATGGGGAGCCAGTGGGCACCAGGGACTGTGCTTGTTATCACATATGTCTGCTGCCCTGTGCCCCAATGTGTGTTGCTAACTGCACATACAACAAGAAAGCACCTTGGCACTGAATACTTTGAATGTGAAGTAGGTAAGATAGAAGGGAAGGAGAAGGAAGAATATGCACTGGAATGTAAAATTAATCACCCAGATCACACAGTGACCCAACCTTTTCTGAAGGAAATGCATCAGACAGCGGTTTTACTCCTTGTTCTCATTTGTACAAGTTGTTTCTTAATGGTTAAGTATTATTCTCCCCAGAATGGGGATAATCTTGTTGTCTGTGAAACTGCATTTTGCTGGTATGAGAAAAGGAAATGCACCTGTTTAGAAAGGAAATATACATCCTTGTCTGACATGATTTCTGTATTCTGTCAGTAGGGTGTATAAAATAAAGAAAGCAAGCTTTTAAAATTAAAAGAGAAAACAGAAAAATCCTTGATGAGGTAATAAAAGTGAGGAAAAATATCTTAAAAACTAAAATTAAAAATAAAAACGCATGTTCCTATGAATACAAAAAATAAATGGTGGTTCTGACCTCATTTTTGTGCTTGTTAAGAGATATCTAAAAAAGGCCTTATTTTCAGTTAAAGGCCCTCATGTTTTCTAAAAGGCAGGCTTTCTAGGAGACCACCTTAATTTGATATTATAAGTGGAAGTACCAAAAACTGCAATTATTTTTAAAATGTAGTCCATTGTTGAGAATAATCAAAGAGCATCCAGGACTGAATTTGGATCTTTGATGCCGGAGGAATTGGATGTTTTTAGGCAGCCGACTGCCAGCACTGACACGCACTGAGCTCACCCGGGAAATGAGCTACTTGTGGCTCATAGATGGTTTCAATAAGCATCTCAATCTGCCAGCTAATGAGGGTGTGCTCTTTTGGATGACTTTAAATGCAGAAAACTGAGTTTTTAAAATATATTATCATGTTATACCTAGCATTAATAGGATAACTTGTAGGGTTGTCAAAAATACTTTTCATGTTGGTGAGACTGTTATCGTCCCAGTGCAGAAGCTGAGATACAGCAGCTTACTCAAGGTTATAAAGTGACTCAGTAGCATAATTTGCAGGGACACTATATCTGGCAATTATTTCACTATTTTAAGTAGGTCCTTCCACCTCTATCCCATAAAAATAATATAGTTTTGTTAAAAAAAAAAAAAGACCATGTCTACCAAAGTTGTCCTTCAGTGAGATAAGCATTTCCTTTCAGCTCACATTATCCCAGAGACATCTGGGGAGATAAGTATTTTATAGTGCTTATCATTCAGATCTTTTTTTTTTCCTTTGTAACTAAAGCAATAACCTTTCTTTCATCCAGTAATGACAAGAACTCTAGAAGAATGCTGTTTCTTTTTTTAAACAACAAAGCTTCTCCTAGAGCTAGCACAAGCCATCAAACGCTACTGATTATTCTCTAAAGATGCATTAACATTTAAAAACAGTGTCTCGCCATGTGGTTTCTGGTTTTGCAAAGGAATATGATAAGCCTTTATCAATATAGGGAGTGAGTAAAATCCACTTCTCAAATCTCCTTCCAAAAATTTTCTATTATCTACCATGTCTTCCCACCACCCTCAGGGAGGCCTCACATTTCCTTTTTATGAGCTTTGTTCTGGTAGGGGAGGAGATAAGTTAGCATGCACTTGAAACCAAGTTTATTTCTGGCTGGAGATCTGAGTGTCAAGCTGGTAGCAGATGTAAAAACCTGACCTTATTCTTGCGGTCATTCCATTCCTGCGGATGGCTGCAAGGCAGAGGGGATCGGGAGTAGGAGAGGTCAAGGGAGTTGACAAACAAGCAAGTTGCACATAGGAAGGTAAGAAATTAGGATCAAAAAGAGCACATTTTGCCTTGTTTTGCAGTGAAGCTCCTCTTGGACCAGCGATGAGCTGACTTGTTTATTCATGTATCCTGAGCCAGCTCAACAAGATGAAATCCAACTGGAACAGGTCTAGTGTGAGCACTGGGTGGAGTTTTCATACTTTTCGGTACCTCTAGGCACCAAACATCTTCAAATGAAGAAATTTAATCTTAGGGAGAGGCTGGCACAAGTCTATGGGATGAGATGACGGAACAGTGGGAGGAGAGTGCAGGCAGAGTCAGTGGCATCACAGGGATGCAAGGCTGGGAAATACGAGTGAGATTTCAGGAAGGAGGCAGCATTTTAAGGGATTGAGCCTGCTCTCTCTCTCTCCAGACCACTTTCCTGCCCAAGACTGTCTTCCTTTCTTCATTTTTTCAAGGTTACCCACAAAGGCTCTTGCACAGCAGAAATGCAGAGAGGCAGCACATACTTGATTGTTCCCACCACTCTCCAACTGCTCTGCCACATGCTCAGCTTCTGCCTCCGATTCAGCACTGTAGGTCATGGGCCCTGCGACTGCACCTCCTTTTCCAGTATCTTTTTCCTTCATACACATCCAGACAAGGTGCCTCTAGATCTTGAGCTTCCTCTGAGGACAGTGCCACAGCACTAAGTTTTATGGATTTTTCCTAGAGGGTTCCTGCAACCCAAGTTTGCTTTTCATAGCACACACATTCCAGCTCACAAGGATGAGCAGTCACAAGGGTCTATGGTCATGTTCCCCACTGCCCCTTTTCCACTGCAAACAGGCCTAAACCTGTAATCTTTGCTGCCTACTTATTTTGCATCTTCTCCTGAATCTAGGGCAAACCACAGAATAATCAAGCCCTTGATTTGCTGAAGTACCTTCCTAGCTAATTTAGGACTTCTTGACTCACTGGCTTTTTTATATATATTTTATTTTTAAGAGCCTCTTGAAAAGCAAAATGAATGGCTAAAAAAATTGAGCTAATAAATCCTTCACTTCACCACTCCTTTCCTGCCAGGAATTAACCTTCCTGTCCATCTTCCTGCTAGAGATGAGCTCTGCCTTTTTTCTCTACTTGCGTTGCCAAAGAGACAAGAGAATCTGCCCCAGGGCTTGTCTCAATTCTTGTCCCCTGGGTTGCTTTTCTATCTCTTGCTAACATGCTGTATTGCCTTGTACCATTGACTCCTTGATAGCCCAGCTCCTGTTTTATCCCCGGCTCCCTTTAGGTCTGAAACACACCATTGCATCCGCTCCACATGGGGTCTTCCTCCTGCTTGTCTATTAACCTACAGCTGTGCTGAAGCTCTCATGCACATACATTTCATACAGCTCTCATCCAAACAGGATACACATGCAGCCACATGAGCTGGAGCATTGCATTAGGAGGTGCTGGCCTGGGGAGGGAATGTGCACTGGATTTTTCAGTGAAGTCAGAGTGCTGAAGAATTCCTGCTCTATCTACTCCCAGGTGCTTTCACTGTGCAAACCTGTGCTTTTCACTGCTTGCAATTCCAGCTGCTGAATCCAGCATCCTGCTCTCAGTGCAATATTCTGCGTTAACACTTCGTTACCCCTCAGCACTCCATATTTAAATAGGGGTGACTCATATTGCGGCAGTGTGTCATCCTCACATCAGAGTCCCTGAAAGTCCTATCCCAGAGCAGAATGGCTGAAAATGGCCAGATTCAAAAAGAAACACAGCTCTTTGTGAGCAGAAAATGAAATGAGGAAAGGCATTTCAAGAAAGACCTTCTAAATAAACCACTGGCCTGAAAACAGACCAGGCATCAGTAGCTGCAAGAAACTGCAGGTCCTAATGAATTGAAATACTGTCCCTGTTACAACAATCAGCTATGGCAATAGGCCATGATTTTAGGCTGGACACTATTAGCTGTTTCAGCTGTTCAGATGTTCATAGGTGTAATCATCTTATTGCTCTATTGTGACTGCTGACCTGGAAATCTGAAGCTATTCAATACATGGAGCAATTGCTCCTTGTCTGTAAAGCCAAATTTATGAATGACCCTTCTTAGAAACAAGATGAAGGTGCATTATTTTTCTATTTTTCTTCTAATTGAGCATAGCAATACCTTGGGGGAATCTCAAACCAGAGTTATGATAGAGAAACTTACCCCAAAGTAACTGGGAAGGGGAAAAAAAAAATGTGCTGTGGGCTGTAATGCTGAACACTGCCTCAGGAGAAATAATCTCAGCACTAGGTGAATTGTTGTGGTCAGTCCACATTGCTTTGTCATGCAAAAGATGCTGCAGAAATTGCAAACCCAGCATGAGATTGTTGGTCTACTTCAGTGGCTTGGGAACTTGGTTATTAAAGAAGGTGAAGGGAAATGGTCCATTCACTTCATTAAGGCTAAACTGGGATGGTCCAGACAGCTTGACTTGAGCCCTGAGCATGGACTCCTTGT